GTAGAACCATCTCAAGGATGATCAGAAGAAATGGACAGCACCTGAGTTAAATATATGAGTGTCACAGCAAAGGGTCTGAATACTTAGGACCATGTGATATTTCAGTTTTTCTTTTTTAATAAATCTGCAAAAATGTCAACAACTCTGTGTTTTTCTGTCAATATGGGGTGCTGTGTGTACATTAATGAGGAAAAAAAATTTACTTAAATGATTTTAGCAAATGGCTGCAATATAACAAAGAGTGAAAAATCTAAGGGGGTCTGAATACTTTCCGTACCCACTGTATATATATATAAAACACATTTCTGTTCAAAAGTTTAGAGTCTGTAAGATTTTTTTATATGCTTTTATGCTCCATTACTCCAGTCTTCAGTGTCATAAAATCCTTCAGAAATCATTCCAATATGCTGATTTGGTGCTCAAGAAACATTGAAAATTGCTTAAAACCATGATACATTTTATTCTCTGATGAACAGAAAGTTCAAAAGAACATTTATTACATATATAATATTTCTATTTTTGTATTTACTGTCACTTTTGATATGTGTCCCTGCTGAGGTGGTAATTTTTGTTGCCAAAAAATCTTACTGAGCCCAGGCTTTTGAATGCATTGTGCGTATATATTTTTAACTGTCATATATTTATCACAATTATAACAAAAGTATATAACAAATACAATTATATAACAAAGTTTTAATTTATAATAATTATAAAGAGAATTTAAATATATAAAAAATTAGATATAGAAATTTTTTTTTTACTAATTTTTACAACATAATTTTCCTTTTGTTCTTGTTATTTTGATGTTTTGTCACCTGTAGGTTTGAGAGTTGTGTGAATGCCTTTTCGCATCCTGGTTGGGCACATTTATATGGTCTGTCTCCAGTATGAATCCTTGAAAACAAATACATATATATTAACATTCTACTGAACTCTAAACTAGTTTTACAGTTTTGCACATGCACTAAAGGCTTTGCTGCGAGTTCTGCTGACCTGGTGTGCTGCTGGAGATGTGATAACTGGCGAAAGGAGTTCTCACAATAGGAGCAGTGGTAGGGCTTAATGCCTAAGTGAATACGTAAGTGCTGTGCTAGGTATGAGGCGTTGGCGAACGACTTTGAACAGTGAGGGCACTTGTGGGGTTTGGCCTCCGTGTGGGACTTGGAATGAATCTGCATCTCTGACTTGTTTAAGAAAGTAAGGGGACACAATTTACACCTGTAAGAAATGCAAAAATGCAATAGTTGGTTAATGAAATTAAATTCTGTGTGTAATACAAGATGCAATACAGGTCATAAATTCTATGATTCATTACTAAAAGTGTTAAACCTGTATGTTTTTCCCTCTTTGGCGATGGTAACCGCCTGGTCAGGGCCTGAGGCCAGAAGCGGATAGGGAACCACCAGCAAAGGGCCGGTATTATTCTCTGCTTTAATCTTCTTGCGGCCTCGTGGAGCTTTGGGCTGTGGTCCCAGCATCCCCACCAGACCTCCACTTTTCACATACTCCATGCCAGGACCGCTGGCCAGGCCAGAAATCGTGTTTAAGGAAGGTGCGCCACCCAAACGGTTCTGGCTGCTTGATGTCGGGGTTGTGGGAGTTATAGCTTGAGAGGTGTTGTGGCTTTCTGTGCGGGATGACAGCATGAAACCTGTTTTTGAAAATCAAAAAAGAAGGTTTTTACAACTTGTCTATGGCACATGGAAACGTAATATCTCTTCTGTTTATACATGCATGTCTTTCACCTGAGCGATGGTTCACTCTGGAGGCTTGGTCCACCGCTTGTCGCATATGCCAGTCTTCCCATAATCCCTTTGCCTTCACTGCAGACTTGTCATCTATATTCAGCTCTGAAATTATGTAAGAATAAAGCAAGCATGTATTTAAAAATACATGTTATGAAACGGATAGTTCCGGTTCTTGATTCTGATTGGCTGAGCCACGTTCAAAGCTGTTGTAAATGACTCTACAAACATACACTTTTATTTACGTTTGCGTGTTGCTTGGCAACCACTTTGTTGCAACTACAACTGATTCTGAGGAACTACATTGTTTGGTGGAAGAATACTGTTCTTATTAACAGGGGCATGTCTACGTGGTGGCACCGGCCCCCCTGAAATCTGGCTGGCCACCCCAGGTGCCCCCCCTACCAGATATCTTGCGATAGGCTTGTTTTTAGTCAATTTCTAACTGCACCTGGCAGTGGCGGATCCTGTGTAGGCAGCTGCCTAGGGCCGCTTTCTTCTCTTCTTTATACTTCATTTTAAGTGGTTTCTATAGCGTGATCTCAATGACAAATGTCGAAAGCGCATAATGTTACACGAACCATGTAATGCGTGAGCAAGAATCTCTCCACTCTCAAGCGGATTTCCTTCACTCATACAAAATATTTAAAATATGAATTGTTTTTTATGAATTGGCTCTGCTCTCGCTCAGATATTGCGTGTACACGCTCAAACGTTGTCCTCGCATCACTAAAGACCAGAACAGATTTTTTTTTTCTAATTCAGGTGAAGAGTAGCCTAAGCTTTTCTTACTAAATGGAAGCAAACTGGTTATAGTTAGCCTTCTCTAGTTAGTTATTTAATTATTTACTACTTATTTTAGTTAAGTGCTTAAATTGTAAATATGCATTTATTCAATTATTTTATTTAGTGCATTTGTATTTTGTTGTTTTTGTAGGCTATACAATAAAAGCGAAATTAGTGAGGATGCTCTAGTCTTAATGCACATTTTCACATATTTTGTCCCATCTATTGCTATGGTTATGACTATGTCAATCACTACTACTTCGAGAGCGAATCCAGCATAAATATGCGGATGTCATTCCAGAAACTTTGCAACGTGTGTGTGGCCGAAAAACAAAGTTCTACATTTTAAATGAATTATTGCCTAGAAAGCTCGCAAAGAGCACTCCTTTTTTAACCACTAAAAAAATTGTCACTCTTTGTTCATCGCGATCTCACAAAGTTCTGTAATGACCAATGAATCTCACACTGCGCAATTAATATATTATTAACATCGTCGTGTATACACTCTGCATGTTATAATGAAAGGATTCGATTGTGAG